TCAAAAAAGAAGAAAAAATAAATAGAGTCTGTAGAAACTCCCTCACCCCACTAAAAATTTGTACTTGTTAATTCATTTTATTCTCCCTGCAAACCCTCAGAAGGAGCACTCACCAGAATCCAATATTAAGAACCAATTTCTCAAAACATTTTAAGTCCCTGGAGCAGGAAAACACTTTCAAAATCTACAAAGCCAGTGTGCGTTATTTTGAACTGGTAAGCTGTCAAAATCTTTTCCCGGAACTATACATTGTTGATATGTATGTACCTTTTCCTGCCATCCTCCAGACACCCATAGTAACACAGTGAATGAAGAAAGACAAGAATCAGCATTCTCCTGGCCTTCAATCTATGGTTCTAAAGTTTTGCTTGTCCATTTGCATAGGAAAACTTTTCGTTCTTTGAATGCTATACAATGTGGTTAAGATGCAGTGTTACCCTTTCCTGTAGCTCTCTGACAAATTTCTCTCTAGTCATTGATGTATTTGGCACCCAGCTCACAGACATTTCTCTTCATTAAATTCCTGTCACATCCTAGTGATGTTTATGATACCGTCAACACCCATTCCCTCATTAACTCCTTCTCTGTTGACTTGAAGTCAACAGCTGTATATCCAGAACTGATTTACTTCTGAAATCTTAACCTCTATAGCCCAATTCCCAATCCCAATCTCTTGGTCTCTGAATATATTCCCCTAGTCTATCACCATGGCTATTCTTTGACTCCATAAAGTGCTTTTATCCCTGGTTCTCTTCACTTTTTCCCACTTGATTGACCTCCATCCTAATTTACTCTTTTTCTTAAATTACATCATTTTAATTCAATTTAAGGGGTCTTATTTCCAAAAACTGCCCCTTGTCTTATTTGCTACTATGAGATTGGAAAAAATTGAATTCTGGTTCATTTTAATTTGTCTTCTCTTCTGGTCTCTGGGTACTGAGCTCATACAGGTGGATGACTACCACTCCCAAATGAGGGTTTTCCACCTGCACCTGCTCCTAAGCAAGCCTGGCAATCCCTTTATGTAATCGTAATCTACATTTTCTCCAGCTAACATCAGAAGCCATTTAAACTTTAATTGTTTCCATTAAAACCTTATTCTTTTTTCTATGCACTTTTCTGGTGCACTCTCTCATCCTACTTACCTCCAAAGGATGACTTTCCATTCTATTTCTTCCAGTAAATAGATTTTAAAAGATAACCTATCAACTTCCTGATCTTTCTTCTAACCCCAAGTACTCATGCATATCTGCATAAGACCTAAAAAAAATCATTCTTTTCCATTGTGTATAAAAGGTATTCTTTCTGTCCAAAACTAATCCCAACACATACACTTAGAAATGTGATTGAAGATTAAATGAATTAATAAACATAGAGGATTTGAAACATTGCCTATCCCATGGATTTAGCTATTTTCTTTCCCTTTTCCATCTCTTATTATATTGGCCCATCAATTATGGTCCATCTTACTTGCTTTCTGTAGTTAGTATAAATATACTTAATTCTGTTGTCTAATAAGAAACTTCCTTTGAGCTCCCATACTCTCCATCCCTAAATCATATACTCATATTTTTCTCCTTCCTTTCTTGGTGAAGCTCTTTGAAAGACTTATCTTCATTTCCTTACATTTCATTTATCCTGTAATCCCCATAACCTGGATTTCTGCCTCCATCATTCTGACTTAACTCTCACCAAATTAGAAATGAGTTCCTAACTCCAAAATGTATTGACATTTTTAGTACTCATCTCTCTTAGCTTCTCTGCAGCATTTGACTCCTCTGGTCACCCTCCTTTAAAATACTGAAAAAATTGGAAATAAAGAACACACTGACAGTTACCAGAGGGGAGGGGGTAATGGGAAATGATAGGGGGAAAAGGGGGAAGGGACATGCCAAGGAAAAAGAATAGAAGATTCACAGGCATGGACAATGTTGGTGGGAGGATAGATTGTAGGAGTGGGGTGGGACAGGGCAGGGGAGAGTGATGGGGAAAAAAGTGGGACAACTATAACTGAACAAGGGTAAAAAAAGAAAAAATAAATAAATAAAAATTTATTTATTTATTTATTAATAAAAAAGAAATTTAAGATAAGACAAACAATTAAGAACATAATATAATAATGTCATGTAATAAGGGGAAAAATGCATAGGCATTAGTCCAATGTTAATTAAGGACTATAGAATCTAAAAGAGAAAAAAACAGATACTGTTATTACTTTTACCCCTTTATGCACGTAATTGGTAGTTGAAAAAAATAAAGCTAACTCCTTTTAAATAAAAACAAAAGAGATAAAATAAAGTTTCTCCTATTTTGACTTCTGAGATACCTCTCTTATTTTTCACAATGTTCTTTGACCATTTTTTCTCAATATACTCTGTTAGCCCCTCTTCCTCTCTGATCTTGTTAAACATTTATAGTCTTTAACTTATGTTTATGTGTGATCATAACAGAGTATCTACTGGATCAGGTTAATCTGGAAAAATTCTACTGTCACAAGACCCCAGGGTGAGTTGGCAGCTGACAGATAGGGTGGTCCCACATTTACTTGAGGATAAACCAGGAGGAACAACCAGCGAGTGAGACAGACCATGCAACCTAGGGTTCCAGTATGGGGAAATAAAGCCTCAAACTCTGACTGAAAAAACCTGTGGGGTTTGAGGTGGCAGGAGCAATTCCCAGCCTCACAGGAGAGTTCATTGGAGAGACTCACAGGGTCCTAGAACATACACAAAACCACCTACCTGTGAATCAGCAACAGAAGGGCCCAATTGCTTGTGGGTAGTGGAGGAAGTGACTGAAAGCTGGCAGAGAGCTGAGCAAGTGGCATTGTTCCCTCTCAGACCCCTCCCCACATACAGTGCCAAAATGCAAGTCGGGGGTTGCCCTTCCCTGGTGAATACCTAAAGCTCTGCCCCTACCTACATAACAGGAAAGTCAAGACAAAAAAAAAATAATAGCCCAAATGAAAGTACAGATCAAAGATCCAGAAAAAAATTCAACTAAGCTATGAAGAGATAGATAACCTATCTAATGCAGATTTCAAAACACTGGTAATCAGATGCTCACAGAAATGGTTGAGTATGGTCACAAAATAGAGGAAAAAGGAAATGAAAGCTTTGAAAAGTGAATTAAAGGAAAATGCACAGGGAACCAACAGTGACAGGAAGAAAACTGTGACTCGAATCAATGTTTTGGAGCAGAAGGAATACACATCCAACCAGAACAGAATGAAGAAACAAGAATTTTAAAAAATGAGAAGAGGCTTAGGAACATCTGGGAAGGCTTTAAACATTCCAACATCTGAATCACAGGGGTGCCAGAAGGAGAAGAGGAAGAGCAAGAAATTGAAAACTTATTTGAAAACATAATGAAGGAAAACTTCCCTAATCTGGCAAAAGAAATAGACTTCCAGCAAGTCCAGGAAGCTCAGAGAGTCCCAAAGAAGTTGGACCCAAGGAAGCACACACCAAGGCACATCATAATTACATTACTCAAGATTAAAGAGAAGGAGAAAATCTTAAAAGCATCAAGAGAAAATGAGACAGTTACCTACAAAGGACTTCCCATAAGACTATTGGCTGATTTCTCAAAAGAAACCTCACAGGCAAAAATGGGTTAAGAAGAAGCATTCAAAGTCATGAAAGGCAAGGACCTACATCCAAGATTACTCTGTCCAGCAAAGTTTCATTTACAATGGAAGGGCAGATAAAGTGCTTCCCAGAAAAGGTCAAGTTAAAGGAGTTCATTATCACTAAGCCTTTATTATATGAAATGTTAAAGGGACTTATCCAAGAAAAAGAAGATGATCAAAACTATGAACAGTGAAAGAACAACAAACTCACAACTATCAATAACTGAACCCAAAACAAAAACAAAAACAAATTAAGTGAACAAGTAGAATAGGAATAGAATCACTGAAATAGAGATCACATGGAGGGTCACCAGCGGGGAGAGGGAGCAGGGAGAATGGGGGAAAAGGTACAGGGAATAAGAAGTATAAATGGTAGGTAGAAAATAGACGGGGGGGTGGTGGTAAGAATAGTATGGAAAATGGAGAGTCCAAAGGATTTATATGTATGACCCATGGACATGAACTAAGGTGGGAGAATGATGGTAAGAGGGGGTACAGGGTGAAGGAGAATAATGCAAAGAAAAAATGGGACAACTGTATTAGCATAATCAATAAAATATATTTTTAAAAATAGATATACCATCATTAACTTAACCATTTCTTTATGATAAATGTTGGATCATGTCTAAATTGATAATCTCATAACACTACAATGGATTTCCCTGTGTTTATATCTTTACAGATATCTTCTATAGATTAATTTTCCTGGGATGAGTTTCTAGAAGTAGAATTATTGAACAGAAGCATTTGCTTTATTTTTAAGGTTACTAGGATATAATTCATAGATTTTGCCAATTTATACTTGGGTAGTCTTATTGCTAATCAACAATTTTCCCTCCTATGATTTTGTCCCTTGGAAAAAAGAGACTACACACAATATGCTTTTCAAGACCTTTTCCAGAAGATCTCATTATTTCATGATGGCTGAAAAATATTACTGATGCTATGGCAATGTTGGAGTATGAGTGTTTCAATGCCTGGGGGCCTCAAGGGTCCTTAGGGACCATTTCTGAAGTGATGCATTGTTCTTTATTTGCATCTGAACAACCTGAAGACATTCACCTCTCAGATTCTTGGCCTGAATTGAATCAAATGGGCTTGTGGAGATTTGTTTCACCGGATATGTTAACTGTACTTGGAATTGTAGAGAAATTGCCAAGGAGCCCTGAGGTCCAGTTGCAGCTCTGGGCTTTAGTTTCTCATGTGAAATGAAAGGTTTGGATTAGACAATTTCTCAAGTCCTTTGCTTCTGGCAGTGTATGGTGTCCTAGGTGACTTCTTCTTGTCACATCTTTCCAGGTATTTTTGTTTGTGTGTTTATTTCTTTAGATCATCTTCCTGAGGAAAGGAGGCTGAGGTGCTACACAGGATGTTTGTGATTAATGAACCCCAGAAGCTGCAAATTCTGTATGAATCTTTGGAAAAGAGCATCCCTGAGTCCTTTAAGGTGAGGGAGTAAGGGGTGGTGTGGGGAGAGAGGGCTGAGGAGTGAGGAGGATGGCTTCAGGGCTCAGAACCTTTCCTGGGCAGATGGAAGTACAAGTTCAAAGTAAGATTACTTCCTCAGGGATGCCCTCAATACCCATATATATTCACCTACTTTACTTCTTTTTTTGCCTTTTAAACATCTTTCGACTCTGCTTTATGCTATCTCTAATGAAATTCCTTTTTTGCTCTAGGCTATGGCAATATCCCCATGTTTTCACTATTACCATCCCACCTGCAACTTGGTGACCAGAGTCATCTATCTGAACAAATATAATTATATCAGTCCCTTGTTTTAAAATTTTAGTAGAGGTCCATGTCCCTGGCATAAAGCCAACAATCTTTAATCAGGTATACCAAGGTGTGTGTGTGTGTGTGTGTGTGTGTGTGTGTGTGTATCCTCTTCTACTTCTCCCAACATTCCCCTGCCAGAAGCTACATGCTGCAATTACTGAGCCCCTCATAGTTCAGCAGGTGTGATATAAGATACAACCTGCTACCCATTCAAGCATTCATTCATGCTTTTCTTCCTACCTGAAATTAGTTGCCCCACTTTTCTCTTTATTTTGCCAAAGAAAACTTTACTTATCTTACAAGACTCAAATCAAATATTACTCCTTCTGTCAGTCTCCTACCACTTCCTCCACACCACCACGTGCATACATTCACCAGTATGTGTCTCATTACGATCAGACTATGTATTTCTCTGCCCTTCTAGACTTTAATTCACCTTTGAATTATCTGTACTTGAAACACATCTGATATATAATAGATGCCAAATAGGTGATATGTTAGGAAATTTAAAAATGAGAAAATGGTATGAATTTTGAAACAGTGAATGTCATGGGACCTAGTTCCTAATGATTCAGCTATTGGCTTGGATTTTTTTTGTGGGTGCTTACTGGGCCATTTTGCAAGCATACCTTCCAATAATAGTCCAATGAGCTATTCTGGAAGCCCTAGTTCTATCCTGCTCAGTCTTCTTAACTCCTGGTTTTATTTCCCATATCATGCCCAAGACCCTGTCTCAAAGAAACACTTCATCCTCTCCTGTTTTGTTCTGTTGCCCTTGTAGGTGTATGGTGCCATTTTCAACATTATAAATAAAAACCCATTCAACCTGGAGGTGTTAGTGGATGCCTGGCCAGATTATCAGATAGTCATTACTCGGCCTAAGAAAGAGGTGAGACCTCAAGCTACTAAATACAAAGCCAGTCATGCTTTGGATGTTCTCTGTGTGGGAATGAAGAAACTGAAGCTGGGAACTGGAGAGAAGAACCTTGGCCCCCCTGATTCATATAGATTTTGGAAAGACTGCTTGGGGGAGAAGGTAGGATGGTGAGCTAAGGCATGGAAGTAGCCCAAGTACCTAATAGTCCATGTCTTATAAGTAACATTAGGATTCCACCTAGTCAATTCTAATCCATTAAGGTTCTGATCACAGGCATACCCCTTAACATAGATGCCTATGGCTGGAAGTGGTTAGGAAATGTCTTTCTTTCCCTATGACTAGATGAACATAATTCAATATTACTTGAATCAGTGTTGGATTTGAGATCTGAAACTGCCAAGTGATTAGTTGTGGGAAGATGGCTGCTCTCTTAACTATGAAAAAGTGAGGTTGATAAATTACTACAAGGGGGGACCCAAAAAAACCCCTGAATTTATTAATTAAAAATGTGTATTTATCCTTACTTGTTTAAACTTCAGTCACCTTCAAAGTACCAGTACTCTCCATTCCATGCAATACACGTATTAAAACACTTTTTCCACTGCTCAAAAACAGTGTTTGAACTTGTCAATTTTGATGCCTTTTAGAGTTTCTGCCATTTTTTGTTTCACTTCTTCCACATCAGCAAACGGGTTCCTTTTGAGGACTTTTTTCATCTGGGGAAACAAACAAACAAAAAGTCACTCAGGGCAAGATTGGGTGAAGAGGGAGGGTAGAGCATGGGGATCATGCTGTTTTCGGTCAAAAAAACTGCTGAGCAGTGGGCAGGTATGTTTGAAAGTCACCCATCATGAAATGGGCAAATGCACTGAAAGAGTCTTCAGAAAAATTCACTGAAGCTGAACACAGCCTTTCACAAAAAAATGTCAGCTGGTACACCGATACAGATGGGTTTCTAGAATGCTCACCTAACAGAGGAAGCCTGTACTACAAGGGGTCTGTCCTCTAGAAGATAATTCTGTTTTTTGGGTCCCCTCTTGTATGTGAGAGAATTGTTAAACAATAGGCAAATCATGTATATTTAATAGAAATGTCTTCCCCATCTTTCAAGTTTGGGAAGTATAAACAGTGAATCCCTTTCATCCCAGAGTAAGGATATTTTACCCTCCCTCTATTTGCATAGTAATCAAGGGAATTAGAACACTGTACTACCTGCAGTGACCCCCGAGGACCACCAGGAGAGTGTCAACAGTAGAAAGATAGCAGGTAGGCAGTGGTAGACTTGGCCTTCGATTCCAGGTACTTTTGTGAGCTCTGGCATGATGGATCTTTCTCAAAGTCCTCTCTATTCACATGAACACTAAGAGTCAATCACCCCAGAATGCTGGATCAGAATTAGCTTAGTCATTACCTCCTCACAGTCCCAGAATGTTGACCCCCCAAAACCGTTTCTCATACTTTTTTCCATACTGGAGAGACTCTCTGTTTTAAACCCTTAACTAGTCCTGGTGCTCCTTCCATCCCAGACAATGGAGCTATTTACTCACCCACCCTAGGACAGCTGGTTTTCATCATCAGGAAGAAAACACCCTCAGTGTGTCAAAGAATTCCAAGGTCATTTTATGCACCTTTCTCAGAAAAAGAGGGTATCAACCAATCGAGTCCAGCACTCAGATGTATACAAGAATATTTGGTAAATTATAGAACTATGTAAATATGTTTGATATTTGTCATATCAGGAGATGAAAGATGATCTGGATCATTATACCAATACTTACCACATCTTCACCAAAGCTCCTGACAACTTAGAAGAAGTCCTGGCATGCTCCCAGGTTATCAACTGGGAACAAGCCTTCCAGATCCAAGGTAACTGGTCTGACTTAAAAGGTAAATACCTCCTGGTTTATTCACAGCAGATATGGGTGTGGTGATGCAGAGCCCATCTTCCTCCTCCAGGTTGCCAAGAGGATCTGAATGAGGCAATAAGAAAGGTTTCAGCTTCAAAATCAGTGCAGGTGGATTACACGAGGACCATGCTCTTCTCATTAGAAACACCACTGGAACTCAAGATATCAACTGATGGCAAAGAGGATTTGACACAGATGTTTAAATTATCCAAAGTTGATGAAGCTAGCAGGTGAGATTTTACTTTTATGCTTCTCAAATTCTTGATAGAATCATTAAGTTGCCATAAGGGCCAAACTTGGAAATGTAGGATTTGAGACTAAATTATGATGAGGTACATAGTTGCATGGGTAAAGGAAGAGAACTTCGTTTGCTGAGCCTTCATTAGGTGAGGTCATTTATATAAACTAACTCACACAGGTCTCACAGGAGGGTTCCTGGGAGAGTATAGGACATCATGTTGGCACCAAAAAATCTTTACTAAATTTCGCAAAAGTGCTACATGCTCCACAAAGTATACAAGTATTTAAAGTAAAAAGTCAAAGTTTGCCCACTTAGATTCCCCACGATTTTCCTGTCAGGTATAAATATTGTCAGTTCTGGTGTATACGCCTTTCATACTATGTGTGTTTTTGTTGTTTTTTTCCACAACATACACACATACTGTACGGCAGCTTGCTTTTTTCACTCAGCAATATGTTATACATACATCTTTCATGTAAGCTCACACAGATACCTTGCATTTATTTTGGTAGTTGCATAGATTTCTATAATAGGGAGATACATACTTACACATTCCTGTATTAACACAAAAATTCTGTAATAAATGTCTTTGTAAATAGATCGTGGCACAAGTGGTGTACATATTTCTGAAAGATGGACTCCTAGATTTGAAATAGTTGGATCAAAAATATGTATATTAAATTAAAATATTACCAAATTAGATGGCAAGACTTTGATGAATTTCATATGTGATAGCTATCACATATGAAACAACCTAAGTGTCTGTGAGTAGAGGCATGGATAAATTCATTAAGGTACAATCCAAAAAATAGAATAATATGCAACCATTGGCAAGAATGAAGCAGCTCTGTATGAACTGGTAAGAATTCCAAAACATATTGCTGAGTGAAAAAAAGAAACAACCAATGAGATGGACAGAACAGTGTCCACTGTACGCTATAACAGTACGCACCATCCAAAATTGCAGAGTCCCTTTAGAAGATGACATGAATATATTGCCTCGTCAGTTCCCACTAGAGAAGATAACTCGGTAATAGGACATCAGAGAAAAATGTAATTATTCTCAGTTAATATCTATTTATTCTTTATAATTATATTACTAATTCAAAGGAATAACTGAAATCTAAACACCCACTCACATACACAGTTGATATAGCTAGGAGAGCCAACAATATACAAATCTTGCTTTGGCCCAGCTGTGTTTCCACAAGAATCTTAAGATAAACTAATGCACAGGGGAAGATGGTAAATAGGGGTTGAATAATATTGACTTAATATTATAACTCTGGTGATCTGGAATAAAGTATTTGTCCTCAAGTGTTTCTTTCCTCTGAGCCCACATGCACAGCCATCCTACCAGAGGAGGGCAGGTGACAATGTTTGAGGCGGTTGAAGAAGCAAGACTAGGGTCCCATCAGGCATGAAAAAGAACAAAAAGAAAGTCTCACCGATGTGCAGACAAGTTAGTGCTCAGTGACCTCACACTCTAGCAAACACAGAGCGACTCCGAAACTGACAAGTTCCTGAGAACTCTTTCTCTTTGGGGAGGGTAAACCTTCTTTGGGATCTTCCACCTGCCCCAACTTCCCCTTCCCATAAAAGGTGTTACACTGATTTTGCAGATGAGAAAACTCAGTCTCAGACAACTTTTCCAATGAGAAAATGAGGATCAAAATCCTGATTGTTCCCACCCCCAAAATCCAATTCCATCCCTGTATCGGTACTTCTTAAATCACACTTTCGGTATTTCCCCAGAGGGGATGTGTGTGGTTAGGGCTCTGCAACACACAAAACTGTAAGAGTAACATTGCTCTCATCTTCTGGTGACAAACTTTTTATTGGAATACCTGTTAAAAGAAATATCTTGTGTATTTAGATATTTTGTGGCGTAGAATTCAGAACCCACGTGTTTCCCATGTGGGTCTTCAAAGAAAATTCAGCTGTGTGGGAGATAGCCCTGGTGTATATCTTTGCTATTTTAGGAACATGAGCTCATTTTTTTCTTTCTTGGGGTATTTGCTTGGACTTTTTTTTCCTTGAGATGTATTTTCTGCATCATAAAGCAATTAGGATTTTCTCCCTCTTGATTATTTGAAAAGATTGTAAAGCAGACATAGAAATAATACTTTTCTTTGTGCATTTGTTTCCTCCTTTAAGCTGCAGCATCCTTGAGAAAAGGAATGGTGGCATATTAATTTTCTGCAGTCCTGGTGTTTGATGAAAGTTGGCTGAATAAATGCTCTTTTGTTTTTTCCTTGACAGGGAAGAAAACTTTTCAAGCATCTTCTTGGATACCTCACATGCAAGGCTTGTGAATGAGCCGTGGGACTTTGGAAAAAATGAAAGGAGCTTGAAATATGTTGAACGCTGCCTCCAGAATTTCCCAGCATTTGGTGTGCTGGGTCCAGAGGGGCTCCCTGTCTCTTGGATTGTGATGGAACAGTCCTGTGAGCTGAGGATGGGCTATACGGTCCCTAAATATCGACAACAAGGCAACATGTGGCTAATTTATCATCACTTGAGAGAGTATCTTATTCAGAAAAAAATACCATTTTATTTTCATATGGCAGAAAGTAAAGAAATTTTTGTACAGAAACTGATAAGTTTTGGATTTAAGAGCTATCCTTGTGGCTGGCATCAGTGGAAATGCAACCCCAAGAAATATTGCTGATTGGTGCCATTGCCCATTTAAGCCTTTCTTATCAGTGGAAATGCATCAGTACAAACACACAAAAGCATCCAATTATCTGGGGTCCATACATTACTTCAGCCCATCCTTATGTAATATTTTAGTCTTCCTTCTCCTTCATATTACAGAAAATTAGAAGCTTGACCCTTTGAGGCCATACTTTTCCTTTATGGTGACAGACATTTCAGAATTATTATTGCCTGATGACAATCATTAGTGTCAAGAGAACCCTTTCAAAGCAATATGTCCTTCTTTGAAGAAGCTTTCTTTTGTGAAAAGAATCATGCTTTTTTTTATGCTTCTGTGTTTGAAAATAAAAAGTCTGCTTTGACAAGTGCCTCCTCTGGTATCCTCCCTGTCCTCTTACAGAGTTTTCCAAAGGATCTTACAAAGGTGTTTCTTTCACTCAGCATCATTGCTTTTGGTCCTGGGTGTCTCTAAAGAGCTTTAAGATGCTCTTCTGAATGTCCATATGTGACTGTCAGTGACAGTTTAGTTTCTGATAGGGGCTTGGCAGGTTGAGTTGTGTGACATCATATTTTCAATATTATTTTAATATCCATGCTATATAGGTTTCCTATTGTTGTAAAAAATTACGACACACTTACCAGCTTAAAGCAACAAAAACGTATTACCTTATGTTTTTAGTAGTCAGAAATCCAAAGAGAGTCTTATGGGATAAAAGTCAAAGTGCCAGCATGACCTGTTCTTTCCAGAGGTTCTTAGGGAAGAATCTATTTCCTCATCTTCTTTAGCATCTGCAGGCTGTCCTCATGCCCAGGCATGGGGTCCTGAATAACACTACCTGTCCTCTCTCTATTTCCATCCATTTCACTTACCCTTCTTCTTTTCTGTATTCACATCTTCCTTCCTCCCTCTTACTAGGACACTTGCGATTACACTTAGGGCCCACTTGGGTTCTAATCCAGGATAACCTCCTCATCTCAAAATGCTTAACTTAGTCACTTGTGTAAAGTCATATAATTTAATAATCAAAGCTTCTAAGAATTCACACCTGGGTATTATTGGGGGTCATTACTTAGCCTACCACATATGAGCTTCAAGTTACATTTCTTCATGAGGAAAGTAAACTCAGCTTCCCTTTTCAGACTGACTAGTATTTCTTTTTTTGTTGTTATTTATTAAAGTTATTGGGGTGACATTGGTGAATGGGATCATATAGGTTTCATTGTACATTTCTATGATACAAGATCTGCATATGACATTGTGTACCCACCAGCCAAAGTTAAGTCATCTTCTGTCCTCATATATTTTGTCCCTTGTACCCTTTACTACCTCTCCAACCCCTTCCCTCTGGTAACCGCCATACTGTTGTCTATGAGTTTCAGTTTTATATCCCACACGTGAGTGAAATCATATGGTTCTTAGCTCTTTCTGCCTGACTTATTTCACTTAGTGTAATATTCTCAAAGTCCATTCATGTTCTCCCAAAGGGCAGTATTTCTCCTAGCTCCTTCTGCAGACGTCTGATTCAGTGGGGCTGGAATGTGGCCCAGAAGGGGCATTTCTCAAGAGGTGAGGCCAGTGCTGCTGGTGACCCACCATCTTGAAGGCCAATTGTTAATTTTATTAGACAAAACCTAAATATATTACAAATATTTACTCATTTTATCCTCATAACAACTGCAGAAGGCAACTGCCGTTATCCTCATTTCAAAGGAAATTGTGGCCATAGAGACGTCAAGTCATTGGCCTCAACATGCACAGCTATTAGCAGAACCGGGGTCAAAACCAAGCAGTCAGGCACGGTGGCCTTAACTCCTAGCCATTGCTTTCTCTTCTATTGTTGCAGTCAGTCTGCAAGAACCCAGCCCACTTCTTGGCCCTGCTCCTTTCTAGTATGGCTCTCCGCTGCCCCACCCATCCCTCTGTGACCCTGCCTCAGAGCCTCAGCTCTCCTATTTGCAGCTTCCAGGACCACCCCAGGACCTGCAAACAGAGTCCATAAGAACCATGCAATACTGGTGCCAAATACTGGCACCAATATTTGGTGCCAGCAATACTCTCCGTGACCAAAGTCTTTTTCAGGAATGTTGGAGTTCTGGGCTCAGCCTGAAGATGGCACTGGGGGATAAGCCTGATGGACCTGAGAAAGATAAAGGGAGAGGGGTGGGAAGCGGTGTGAGGATTGACACTCATAGTGGCCAAAGGCGGCAAGGTGTCAGTTTGCCCATTCTTTGATTATCTTGAGCAATAGAGCTTCCCACCCCTTTAGGGGACTGCACTTGTGGGCATGGTCTGCACAGGTGCAGGTGGGAGATGCTGTGTCTAGTTCTCCCTGAAGGTGCACGTGTTAGTCCAAAGTTGCTACAGCTCATGGTTTTGGTTTTGGTTTTTCCCTTCGTATTTACCCTCCTTTCAGTTAGGGCCCACCTCATCTGTCTTTGGGCAAACTCTTGTTTATTCTGGGTCCTTGGGGTTTTTGTAAAAGCCTTTGTGGAGGCAAAGCCAGCCTGGTGCTTGTCATTTCTGGCACTGTGGGGAAGTGGGGGTGAAGAGAGTAGAGGGGGACATAACTTATAAGAAGAGTCCACAAAATGCCAGGCATTGTGCTTTGGCATTGTTCATAGGATTGCCTGCTTTCTATTTAATGTGCTTTCTACTTATTTCAGTGTTTGTTTCACAGATTAAGAAACAAGGTAAATAGATTGTCCAAGGGCAGTGCTTCCAAGGGTGATTTTATCCTATGTCAGACACCAAGCCCAGAGTCCTTTAGTGTGCAGAGGCTGTCCTTGTGGCATTTTCATGCTGTAGGCCAGGTGCATCACCGCTCCCCACACTGAACCTTCCTTCATCCATCCATTCACCTGTTTTTCATGAGGGAACTATCTGCAAGGCTTGGATCTAGTTGCTATAAAAATACGAAAGCATAGGGACTCTGCTGTAAAGTAGGGGAGATTAAAAAGAAGGTCACTGAATATTGATGCCTAGTTTTTTCCAGATAATATGATGAGGTCTGAAGATAGAGACGTGGATAAAGCCTACCCTTGCCTTTCAAAAGATCATTGCCTTAGGCAGTACCAATCTCTGAACTTTTCATTCCCCACCCCTACAGTTTTTAACAAATTGAGCATCTACCCCATATATCTTTATTTAAACTATATTTTCCCTTTTTTAAAGATTTTATTTATTTAATTTTAGAGAGGGCAAGGGAGGGAGAAAGACGAGAGAAACATCAATGTGTGGTTACCACTTGAGCACCCTCTAATGAAGACCCGGACCCCAACCCAGGCATGTGTCCTGATTGGGAACCGAACCTGTGACCCTTGATTATATCAGGTTTCAAAAACATAGGGTCCCCTCAGTTCACCAAATTATCCATCCATTTTTCCATCCATTTAATAATGAGTAGAAAATTAATTGACTGTGAGGATACCAAGGTGAACAGAATATTGTCTTTGGGATCAAAGAGCTGACCATCTCATGGGGTAGCTGGTCATATTTCTCACTTTCTCTCCTTGGTTTTCATAACACAGGATTTTTTCTTGCTTTTCCTACTACCTTTTAACTCAAGTTTTTACTTAATTTCCACCTTTGACTCTTATTAGTCTATGGAAATTCCAATGATGGGCACTCCCCTAAGTTCTATGTGCTCCTTAATTTTCACTCCTTTCCCCGGGTGAATAAACTTCATGGATTCAATAGTGCATATTGCCAACATTTGCAATTCATGTTCACTCCTGTTTTTTTGACTGCCAGACTGTAGTAAATAACTACATAACTGACATCTCCACTTGTACGACCCACAGACATCTCAAACCAAATATGCCCAGAATTGAGCTCAGCATCTTTCTTCTCACATCTGTTTGGCCAGAAATTCTTATATTGCTGACTGGTATCACCATCACTCCTTTGTTCAAGCTAGAAAGCTATGAGCCATCCTTGGCTTCTTCTCCCTCCCTAAAAATATCCAAAGCCATTGCCAAGTATTTTTATTCTAGTTCTTAACAATATATCTATTTCATCTATTTTCTTCATCTCCACTGCAACCACTTTAGTCCAAGAAACAATGATTTCTCACCCAGACCTCTAGAATAGCTTTTAAATTAGACCCCCCCCACCTTTCACTTCTGCCCCTCCTCTGTAGTGAGTATAGTCTTCCTAAAGTGTTGATCACTTAATTTAAACCTCTCCAATGGTCTCTCATATCCAGAGTCCTTTGCATAGTTTACACATCATTGTATGAGGCAGTCATCATCACCTCTCTTCTAACGCATTCATCATCCTCTGGCCATACACGCTGCCTACGGTTCTTCAGGGACAGTTTTCTCTTTAGTCTCAGTGTCATTGTACCAGCAATTCCATTTTCCTGGCAAACTCACTCATCATTCAGTCTCAGCACAAATGTCACTTGGGGGAACCTCCCCTAGCTTCCAAATAGTTCTCCCTGTAATATGTCCTGTATACATCATGCTCTCATTTATACCACTTATTACACTTACACTGATGTGGTCAACACTTTCCTTTGCATTGAAACTCATGAAGGCACAGACCATACCTATTGTCTACTGCCATATTTCCAGAACCTAACACAATGCCAGCCACGTAACAGGTGTTTAATCAATATTATGGCAGCCCTAGCAACTAATACAAGGACTGTGATATATTCATAAGTGTCTCTTAGGTCTTGAACATCCTTTACACATGGCAATTGGTCATTAAATTTTGATAAGTAAATTGGTAAATTGTGTTCTGAGGTCATACTGGATTTTAATCCCTCTTACTTGCTTCTGTATTAAGCACCATAGTGACATCCTTCATTCATCATTTATTTCCTTTTTGTTTCTTCCTTCCCTTCCTTTCTCCTTCCCTCCATCTCTTTTCTTCTTTCTTCTATTTTTCCTTTTTGCTTCCTTCACTCCATCGTTTCTCTTTTGTTCATTCAAAAAAACCTCTCTGAACACCTAAAATATTCCAGACCCCGTACTAAGGAGTCAAAGATGAAAAAAATATAATGCAGA